GCGGCGCTCCCACCGCCCCGCCCCACCCCGCCTCGCCCTGCATCCTCTTTTCTCCTGCGCTGCATTCACGACACGGCCCAGCTGGACGATAAATAAGGCCCGGGGGGCTGTGCTTGGGAGCGCCGCGCACCGGCGGGACCCCGCCATTCGGACCCTGTCCTGCCGTGGGGACGGGGCCGAGCGGCATCCTTCTGGTAATGCCAGTCGCACGGAGGGAAACACTTAACAGCTGAAACCACTGCGCTGATAACAGCGGCTCAAGTTATCATAATTTCTACGTCACACCACACTGGGTTGCTGCCGTCGTTTAATATTTTGTGCTGCAGCAAAATGACAGCTCTTCTTTCCAATACACTGCGCCAGCAAACCGCAAACCTCGTCGACCATGTCGACAAAAAGGGGCAACTTTTTCTGCGTTGTTAGTAAACTGCGATCACGTTTCCCTCATATCGTAACCAACCGCGATAATCACTTTTGAAAATAAAATCATTCTGCAGTATCAGGACGCACATTGCACATGCACTCATTCTCGTATAGTCATACTGCATCACTGCATCGCATGCAGGTAGGTGGGCGGGTTGGGTCAGCCTCTCGTCTCCGACCGCGGCCCCTTACGCTCTGAGGTAGGCAACCCACCAGTTGTGCGGGTGGTGCAGCTGTAGCCGTAGTGTCACACAGTGTCACTCGCCCCCGTCAGCAGAGCCCTTGCCTTGGCATGTGGGATTACTGCAGCGACGGACGCTGCGCTGCGGAGGGAACCCACGTTCCAAGTCCCAGTCACGCTCTCCGCAAGGGCGCACGGCGCACAACACCGGGGAATAACATCGACTACAAGCAATTTTAGAAAGATTTTTCCGCACACACTCTCACTCAAACACGAAACATACACACATACACCCACACACACACAGTCGCACACAGCTCCGAGGGCGTAGCGCCACGCTGCAGGCGGTCTCCCCGACATCCTGCCCCGAGCAGAAAACAACGAGCCAAAACCACGAGCCTCTCTCTGCTGCTGGAAAGGGTTGCGGCCTTTTCTCCCCAGACTGCTTCTATCCCTCTTTATCTGTCTCTCTCTTTTTTCTCTCACGTACCCCTGTCTCTCTCTCTCTCTTTCTCTCTCTCCGTCCCTTCCCCTCCAGGGCCAGCACAGCAGCGCCACGCTATCTCTCTCGTTGCTGCTTTCACTCTCCATTGCGCCATTCTTTCAGGATCCCCCGCCCTCCCGCTCTCCCTCCCCAGGAGTGCCGGCTGCGCGCCCTTGCCACCTTCTTAGTATGTGTCACACGCCACCCCCCC